CTAATTCTACAGATATGTGTAGAACTGTATGCATCTGGATGCTTTAAGACCTAACTGATCTCCAAAATAATATCAAGAGGGCAGCATGGCACCATTTTTCACAATTAAGGTTGATGGGAAACAGCAGGAAAAAGTCACAGTGTATAAATCAAATAGATATAATCCAGCCTGTTTGGGGAAGGAAAGTGTGAGGTAGTGTATTATGTATTTCTCCATTTTAGTCACCTCAGTTTAGGAATAGTGGCATTTGTACATTTATTTAAAGTTCACTAGTTTGAGTATTTAAAATTTTATTCTAATTTAAGATGCTTTAACAATCAGTTAATAAATTCAAATGTTTAATAGTGCTAATACAATTTACATTTTAGGAAAACTGTTGTAAAGGAAAAAGTTTAAATTATTTCAATTAGAACACAGGAGAAAGGACCAAATATCTATAAATACATGGTATCAAGTATGGATATAAATATTAAGCAAAGTATTTGTAGAGATTATATGGCTCTGGAGTCTCTCAGTCATACAAAAAGCAACTAACTACAGCCGACTGTTTTTTGTAATATTTATTAAGTTTTTAATCTCAGTGTGCAAAACTTCAGTGCAAAAAAGGCTATGTTGTTCAGGGTACAAAAAATAGACAATTATAGGTATAACTGCTAAAAGATAACCTAAAAAGTTTAGGAAAGGTTTTAAAAAATTGTATCGTGAAATTTTTAAGTTGCTATGTCTTAAATTGTAGAAATGCACATTAAACAACTTTCTCCTTAGCACATATAAGATGAACATTATTGCACTAAGAATGCCTTAACAAAAAAGTTCTAAAGAAATTTTTACTTTTATTTAAGAGGGAAAAGGAAGGAGAAAAGGAGGGAGAGAAACATTGATTGGTTGCTTCTTATATGAGCTCCAATGGGCACTGAACCTGCAACCCAGGCATGTGCCCTGACCACATTCGAACTGGTGACCTTTTGCTTTGCAGGATGGTGCCCAACAAACAGCCACACTGGTCAGGGCAACATATAACAGCTTTTAACAGTATATTTCCTTCTTCTTTTTAAATATGACACGCCCACTGAACTAGCATGATTCTCCTTCTGGGAGGGTTGAAACTAAAATCAGATCCACCTTTTTTCATTACTGCATTTAAAAGTACTTTTTTTCCAACTTGGTGTGTACAGGTGTGTATTTTTAAAATATGGTAACTAGAGCCCGGTAAATCTGGCATTGGAAAATCTTTGGCCAACTGGCTGAGTGGCCAATGCAGACCTGCCTCATTTTGGTAAGAACGGTTTTATTAGAGCACAACCACACCCATTCCTTCACCTGTTCTCAGTGGCTACTTTTGTGTTACAATGAAGCTGTCGTGAGGAAGGCCACTTGGCCCACAAATCCAATAATATTTACTTGGGGCTCTTGACAGAAAAACTTTGCCAGCCTTTGTTCTAAATGAAGACAAATGAATTTTATGAAGACTTACAGCCAGAAAGGGAGTAAAAGTTCTTTATATTTTTCAACATTTTTATGTACACTAGCCACTAAACCTGTATAATTTTAGGTAGCTCTCATGAGCTAATTCACCTTTTTGTTCTTGGGAGGGGGTTACATTGGTAGCCTGCTGCAGTCTTAGTCTTGATCATACCTAGGAATGAGGATGGGAAAAGGGGGCCAAAGGAAGCCAAGAAAGCCACTCAGTTTATACATCCAATGAATTTGGTTCATTTAAGTTTTAAAATTTTTAAATGCAACCTGAGGACTAGTACCAGATCTTCTGAGTCAGGCAGAGAAAGGTTAGGAGGTGATTTTAGAAGATAAGGAAACAAAGGAGCAAAAATATGTGGCAGCATGTTTAGAATTAGAATTACTGCTTATAAGCCACAAAACTCCAGTTTAAATAGGACAAGTTTTGTTAAATATAAAACTTTAATTTACATTAATTACATCATTCCTCCCTACAGCCAGTCTCTGCTTCTGCCCCTCCCACCAAGCAGGTAGTTCAGGGGAAGAAACTCAAGCAGTTATGTGTAAATGTCTCCTTCCTTTTCATCGAGATAGAAAGTCAAAAAGTTGGGATTTTCGAAAATGGGGTAGTTTGTACTTGATGTCAAATGTACCAAAATGCATCAAGCATTTTGGTGGCAAAACAGGACCATTAAATCATAGGTCAGTCATTTAACTTCAAAATCAGTAGCAACCTAGATTTGGATTTGATACATTTCTACATGTCAATATTGCATGTATGACTTGTAATTCATTTTGGCTCTATAAGCTAAATGAAGTGTGCTGAACACACTTATACACCAGACATTACCAGAAAAATACATTTATGCAATTTTTATCCACTGCCAGTTATTCTTTACAACAGCATTTGTAACTAAAAGGGGCTGATGAGAAAATTGAGGCCCACAACTTAAATGACTTGCCAAGTCTCTTGGCAGTCCTTCCTAATACTTTGTTTTTCTCTGTTTAATATTACAGGCAATAGACTAATATGAATACAGCATCATCCTAGGACTTGGAGGGGACAAGACGATAGAATTCTCAGGAAACAAAAAGAGCAATTCTTAGGGAACTGAGATTAAATATAAACATGTAAGGTCATATAAAAAATGATTACTGAATCTCATTTTGAAAATGACATTGTTGCCCTGATTGGTGTGGTTCATTTGATTGGGTGCTGTCCCACAAAGCAGGTCGCTGGTTCAATTCCCAGTTAGAGCACATGCCTGGGTTGCAGGTTAGGTGCCCAGTTGGGGGTAAGAGGCAACAATCAATGTCTCATACGTTGTTTTTTCTCCCCTCTTCCCATGTCTTTAAAAATTAAATAAAATCTTTTAAAAAACAGTATTACGAACATGCCACTTTTATCAGTGAATTGGAAAAGATTTAAAGCAATATTCAAAGATCTTCAAAGATTTATGAACAAACGATTTTCATCATAGCCTAATTTATACCAATAAGTGTTTTCCAACAACTTAAATGCCCAACAATATATTAAATTATGGAACATGCAATGTAATGGAGCCATGATCTTCCTTTTTTTAAAGATATTATTTGAGAGGGGAATGGTGGAAGAAAGGGAGAGAAACATCTGTCCAGGTGCTTCTTGTACAGGCTTCAAATGGAACCGGACCCATAGCCCTTGCATGTGCCCCAACCAGGAATCAAACCAGCAGCCCGCTTTGTGGGACCATGACCAGCCAGTTGAGCCATTCCCGCCAGGGCAGAGCCATGCCCTTGACAGACTTTTAATACACAGAAATGCTATAAGTATTTTTTGACACAAGAGAAAATATATGATTCAGATTTTTAAAAAGTCTATATATGCAGAAATGACCAAAATATATCAAAATGTTTAATGGTGGTTGGAATCTTGGGTAATTTTAATGTAATTCTTATCCTGTTCCCTATTTCTAAAATCTAACTCCCTTTTAACAGGGGGTTTTATCTGTTAATGTAAGAACACCATCAAAGATTTTTTTAAAGAAATTACCTCAAATTTATTTGGTAAGGATAACTTAGAACAAATATCAGGAGATAGTTCAATTACCACACATCCATAAAAGGGAATATTTTGCAGCCACTTACAATAGTTTGTGAGAAATTTTAATCACCTAGGAGACGACAGCTCAGAGGGAAAAACAAAGATATAAAATTCTAGAGAGAATGATCAATGATACTAAAAATAGAAAAAAAAAAAAAAAGACTAGCAACAAACAGTACCAAAATGTTGACAGGTCTCTCTGGATAGTGAATTACTAATGCTTTTAGTTACTTTATACTTTCCTCTATTTTCTAAATTTTCAATATTATCAGAAAAAAAAACTTAAAATGAAACATTTTTAGCACAGTATTGTAAATAAGTATGATCCAATAAGGTGCTCTGGAAACATACCAACTTCCAAACACTGCATTGCTCCATTTCTCCAAAAATGGTGCTGTGAAGCATGAGAAGAAACATGAAGTAAAAGTCAGTTTTTATGTGGTAGTTTACTTGTTAGCATTTTCAATTTTCCTCTTGTTTTGATAGAAGATACAAAACATAGACATGTTTGGGAAGGGAAGGGAGTTGAAGACAAAACAGATTTTTATCTGCCTGTTTTAGATATCTTTTCTTTCAATATAAGCTCAAGACCTTTTAGGGAACGTTTGTGGTATTCCTAGAATATATTAAAAGATCTTGAAAAGCTACTATGTAAGCCTACAGATTCATATTTAACAGTTTTTTGGAGACAAAATTACTAAGGTAGTAGTTGGAAATTAGCCAAGAAAATAGTGACTTTATCACTTGCTCATAATTGCAAAAGTTTAAGGATGTTCTTGAAACTCTTTTGTTGATGAGTGTTTAGAAAATGAGTAATAATTTCAGTGGTAAAACAAGTCTGGTCTTTCCTAGGTGAAAACAAAGCCTCTGAACTCGAATCTACAAAGCCATTTTCAGGCTGTCAGGATCAAAGACACGACTGATTTAACCGTGTCTTCTACCGGGGACGATGACTGGCAGAGCCTGCTAACAAATCAAATAAACGAAATTGAAAAGTACCTAGCCTTAGAAAATGACAACCGGACTAAAAAGAGAAAAGCAGAAGAGATGTTGGAAAAAGCAGATTAAAATAATGATTTCAGTGGTGAAATAGTATATTGATGTGATTTTAAGCAAAATGACTGACATTTACAGCTTTTTACAGATGTACTGCTCACTTTTCCAACTTTTTCTGAGGGGATGAAGTCACTACTGTTGTGTTTTTGCTCAGCAGATGCTTTATTTAAGATAGCGGAGACTGCCAAGTTTGCTGTTAGCATCTAATTCCCCTTCAAGTTCTCCAGATATCCTTTCATCAAAGCTCTTGCTGCACCTTCAAAACCCTTCCTCCTAGAACACAACTTCGGTATTGTACACGACAGACACAGTGACTCCCTTTGTAACTTACTACTGTGTGTCCCCTGAGGAATGCGATTTCTTTTACCTTCCTTTGAATTTGAGACAATAAATATTCAGACTGTAGTCAGATTTCAGCTTATAATGTTTTACTATCATTTAGATATTTTTCCGCAAAAGAAAATTATAGCATAAAAGTTCAGGTGTCAGAAAGACTCAGGAGGCTGTTTTTCACTTTGTTCAAGTTTTGTTTCCAGGCATTGAGTGTGTCATACAGTTGTTGCCACTGCTGCTTTCCAAAAGTCCGATGTGTGCTATGACTAAAAATTGAAAAATTAAAAAGTCATTAGTCAACCTTTTTATCCTCTGGTATTCTTCTACAATACTACACACTTGCATCTAGTCAAAAGCAAGGTTAAATATACATAAAAGACAATTTAGGACTGTAACAGAAAAATCAGAAGCTTACATGGAAAAAAAATCTTTACCATAGTAATCCTGAACCTTCCATTTTCCTGAACTACATAAACCAGACACAAAAGTCATTAGTATTCTAGCCAATGCTGAGCCATTAAATGAAATGTGCTGGAAAATAGGACTCTTTCATTAAATAAGCTAATCACATTCAGTCTGAACTTTAATAAAATTATGATAAATAGCAACTATTTAACTATAGTCAACTGATAAGAACACTACCTTGGTTCTCTAAACATGTAAGTGAATAACCAGAACAAACTAATTGTTCTACAAAATGCTGTAGAGTATTAAATGTCTTACCTGACAATTACTTTTCTCTGGGTTTGATCGATTTTGCAGTAGACCATTTTTGTTTTCACTGCTGCAAAAAGATATTTTACATGGTATGTTACATGGAAAATTCAAAAAACAAACAAAAAAAAAACCCAACAAAACCCAGCTTAAAGTATGAAACTGTGACCAAGTATGCCATAATAAAACTTTACAGTTTTCCAACATTATTTTAGAAACTGACTCTTTGATTCCAGTAATAAGCACAGCAATATGATACAACCAAGAGGAAGGTCATCCATTTATTTATCCCATGGTTGCTGGGCCGATCTCTATTAAGTATCACAAACAGTTTTCATTACACATGGGGAAGAGCGAACAATTTCCTAATAAGATACTTAAAAAGAAGATTTTACTTATTTTTAGAGAGGGGGAAGAAGGGAGAAAGAGAGGAGGCAAAACATCAAAATGTGGTTGCCTCTCCCGTGCCCCACAATGGGGACCTGGACTACAACCCAGGCATGTGCCCCGACTGGGAATCAGCAACCCTTTGGTTTGCAGGGTGGCACTCAACCCACTAAGCCACACCAGTCAGGGCAAGATACTCCTTTACAGGTATGTTTAAGATTTAAGCACTAGAAACCATGTCAACAGTTACTTTATTTATTTATCTGTTCATTTTATTCATCTTAATTGTACAACCAGCCCAACTTTCAAACTTAAAAGGATCAGAAAAAAATCTCAATTAACAGTTAATAACACATTAACTTTGTGTGTTCTTCGGGAAGATCCTGTTTTTAGGCCAATCATAAAAAACTGGTAACGGTTAACATTTGCCAGGCACTGGGCTAAGTGCTTTACCAGTATTAATTCATTTAACCCTCGCAACCTCAAATTACTTCTATATTGATGTTTCCTGAAGGAAGATCCGGTCTCAAACCCAGGTCTGATGAAAAATCTAGGCTTTTAACCACTATTGGTACACTGCCTAAAGGCCTTTGTTCTAGAAGACTTCAAGGGATACAACGAACACCAAAAACCACACAGCAGTTAATATTTCCACTGAATTTTCACTCTACTACAATTATAATCTGCTAATCTACTAAACATACACATTAGCTACACACAATCTAGTTTTGTTAGCACAAGGCTCAGTTTCAAGATTAAAAATCTTATATTCAATGGGGTGAAAAACAAGAGGAAAAAATGAAAATGTTCTCATCACCTTACCATCAATAACAAATGCTTCAACATCATCAGCTCCAATTTGAAGTTCCTGTTGCATTGTATCAAAAGAAATTTCTTTATTTTCCACTGCCATTCCCATAAAAGTAAGTAGTCTCATTTTTGCCATATTTTGTTCATGTAATAGTCCTGAGTAACAACATAGGAGCGAAGTCTAATTAAAGTGTCAACTTAATAAAAGAGTTATGCAATTACAACTCTTTGTTAAACTGTGAAAGTCACTGTGTTTGAGCACTTTACGTAGAGTAATTTCAACAAAGCTTGTTGTATTTTTCAAACCATAAACAGACCCTATAATTAAATTATAGAGCTTTAAAATTATTTTTCTAGAACTACATTTATTTTAATTTCTATTTATTGATTTTAGGGAGGGAGGGAAGGAAGCGGGGAGAGAGAGAGAGAAACACTGATTTGTTGTTCCACTTAACTTATGCATTCATTGATTGATTCTTGTATGTGCCTTGACTTGGGATTGAACCCAAAACCTTGGCACATTGGGACAATGCTGTAATAAGCTGAGCTACCTGGCCAGCGCAAAACTACATTTCTTTATTATTATAGTGCCATAGGTAACAGATCCAAAGTTAAGAATGGGTTATAAAATATTATTTTTAGGACCTAAAAATTTTTATATCTTAACTTTTAAAATATTTATATATTTTAGGAATTAAAATATACAAAATACATTGCATAAGAAAAGTTTTTATTTAACTGAATTATTAAAGCTTATTTTTACTAATAGATCTCTTTAAACAAAGGATTCCTTATCTACTTATAACTTGTTCTGTGTTTTACTGGTAAACATGGAGTTTTAAAATATTTTCAAATACATTCAGTCAAAGAATAGCCCAAACTGTTAAGATGTGTTTATCACCCAATATCTATAGGTTAAATGATAAGTAGTAGAAAAAATTAAACACTAATTAACAGGGATACTTGTTCTTTAAAAGGCATAAGTAGAAAACGATTGATAATCCAAATTTCTGCCATACAATTTCTAATACAATCTAATGCAACATGCTATTACAGTTATTCATTAAAAAAACGATTATTAGACCTAAATGGAAACTTACATTACTTGGCCCTGATACTTTCACTTTCAGGAACAATAAAATTGAGGAGTAAAGAAATTAAATGACTTATAGTTACAAAGTGGCAGTCGCAGACCTCGAAAAGAGGTTCATTTATGAAATAAATGACCAGTGCGCTCTCCCTACTGGGAACACACCTGCACCTTTCCCTTCCCCTTCTCCCACAGGCAGGCGTCTCTTGAACTCTAGGGGACCCCAAGAGACTTGCAACCAAGGGAGCAATGGGCAGTGCCTGCTTATTCCAGGCTAACCCCCTGAGCCTGTCTCCAAGGTCCCCCTTTCTCTGGCTTCCCAGTGAGCTAAGGCAACCCAGCCTGGGCTCTCCTGTTGCTCCTGCTTTCCTAGGCCCTTCCTTGTTTCACCGTCCCCAGCTTTAATAAATGTACTCTCAAAATCAAAATAAATAAGTGACTAGAATTACAAATATTTATAAATCTTGAATATTCAAGTGTTTCTCTGTTCCTAAGTAGAAGCTAAACTATAACGTGCTAACTTATTAATTGTAAAAACAGGTTCCTAAAATTAAAGTAGAATTTCATATCCCACTTTTCTGAACTTTTAAATTAGGTAAACTCAGCAAATGATCAATTACCCTGTAATAATTAAGAGTCTCAAGTTTGTATTGTTAAAAAGTTCTCCCTAAACACTCCATAAATTTGAAATATGCAACATTCATATATTTTCAGATGACTGGGGAAGTCCATTAATATAGCACATAATAGTGTGTTAATTAGCTATAATTATGATGCAGTCTTTCTATTTGGCACAGATTCAACAAAAACACCATCATCATAACTCAAATGAATGAGTTACCCAAGTAAGTACTGCTAACCAGGTTTAATGGAAATGTACAAGCATCAAGAAATTAATTAGTGCACATTAATGCTTAATTAACAAATGAAAATTAGATGCTGATTAACTTTCTGAAGCAAGAAGGTAGCAACTGGATAACACTGAATTGTATGTTGGACATGTTAGGGCAATTCAGATGACAGAGGATAATGCTACTGTTGGCCCTATTTGTCAGTGCTAATAAAACAAAGTGTTCCGATAAACCATTGCCACCTGTGGAATCCTGACATTTGTGACCAGACTTTAAGCCTTAATAAATGAAGGTCTAATAATATATCTACAACTAAATATATACACATTCAGTAGGATGTTTTCCTCAAAGCATCTTTTACAAACAGATTTCTCATAAAAGATAGCTGCACAGATGTTCAAGAAACAAAAGGCACAACAGAATTTGATTTCCAGATAGCACAATAAATTAAAAATGTTTTTCCTGTCACAGAGAACAAATACTAAGATTTTCTCAATATGTGCAAATACAAGCAAATTCCTTAATATTCCCAGTTCTGTGGGCATATCTAATTCCCTTTTAATGTGTTAAAGTGGTATAAACTTCTCAAATTTCTAAGATATAATTAAAATACTCTTGAAATAAAATTGATTTTACTGCTTTGTGCAGTTACAAGCTTAAAATTATTTCTACAATAAATTCTGTAAAACCATCATTTATCATACACAGGGGAACCTGTGTTTAAAAACATTTCAAACTGGTTTAAAGTCACTACTTCAAAACAAATCACAAACTTAAAGCCTTTAGGACTCTTGCTCTCAAATCAAACTATTAAGCCAGTGAAGTATGAGTTAAAGACGTTAAGAAGCTGTGCTTTATTTCAGGAAAGTAGAACATTACCTTCAAAGAGGAAGTCACAGTGTTCTGAGCCATATTTCAATTTTAAAGTTATAAAAAAATCTAATTTTATGGAAACATTTATTCATTACTAATATGTCAAAACCTTAATGCAGTAATAAAAAAATGTGCATCATTGAGCAATTTCTGCATTGTCACTGACCCCTGCCTTAAAATGCTGCAATATAGGAAACGTAATTTTAATGCATGCAATAGCTTATGAACCAGTGCTCCTTTGAAACAGTCAATTACACATCAATGGGGGAGTGTCAAAGTGTTAATTACTACTCCTTTTTCCTTGGTGAGTAAATAAAGAGGTTGCTGACATTAACATTCCATCACATAGCTTCACGCCACAAAACAAATTAACTGGGACAGAATGTGGTTTTCTGGGTCTAGTGCACCTGGCAAAGCATTCTACACAAACACTTGCATCTACTTTATCTTGGTGTATTCCAAATGCCTTATTATGTTAAGAATAATTCAATCTCACTCAATTCCAATGGCTGCACAAAGTTTACAGGTGACAGGAATTAATGATTACTACACATTGAGAACAGTACAATCAAAGTAAATTATAAATGTATTCTTTAACTATGTTTCAAACAACCAGGAAGACTAAAGATTCAATTTTAATATGAAAAATATATAATGTATTTTGATTATTGCCTAGTAGGAAAACAAAGCACCTTAGTTTCAGAGTTGCCTCCATTCTCAAATGTTAAAGACATGCTCCAGGAGGAAAATACTGAATACATATGGAGTTTGCTCAATGAGAATAAGATTCAATTGGCAAGCATTTACTGAGCTCTGATGTTCTAGAAAGAAACTCAAAGGTAAAATCACAAAGCTAAGACTTACTTTGCTGTCTTCAACAAACTAGTTAGAAAAGTTTCTCCTATCATGTAAAATCACTACAACTCCATTTTTATTCCATCTACAGCTTCACTTCGATCTACTAAGCAATACCGTATTTTCTATAAGTTGTTAATTTGGGGTTTGGGGTATGCACCAAACAAAATACTATATTAGAGGGGGAAACAACTATTTGTTACAATTATGTGACTAGCTTTTTAAAAAAAGCACCAAAATCATAAATCCCCATGCATATGAATAAGAAGTAAGGTCTTTTACAAAGAAACAATTTTATTTTAAACAATAATAAAGTTCCTTTAATTCTATTTTGTCAGCTCTTAAAATGAGTATTTCTAAAATTATGATCAAAGTTAATGGTGGTCCTTTAAGTACACCTGCTCTTCCCAGACCTTTACCTCAGAGAATCATGGGATAGCAGCGGTGGAAGGGCCTAAAATCCAACAAGTTCTTATGGAGAAGAAAAAAATGCCTGGGTTTTCTGACTCCTAGTTTCATGCTCTTTCTGTCACAAATATGACCGCCTATCCCTTTTTGGTTTCTGATTGCCAATTAATTCTGAGTAACCTTTTAAACTGCCAACCCATGTTTGTTGCTCTTCCTCCTACACCACTGGTTAGGGTCATCTACACATTAGGCCACGGCCATACTTGCAGGATCACACAGTACAAAACTAAAATTCCCATCTCCCTCCATCCCTCCAAAGAATAAACCCCAAAACTTACCAAGTGAATCTATGAAGTCTTTATTATTCTGATAAAACTTGACATATGATGCCAATTTAGCACTCACAAATATGGTTAAAAGCTAAACAGATAGAGACAAAAAGTAAAGATACAATATTCAATACAGAATTATGGTTTATAATTCAAGGTATTTTTAAGACACTGACCCCCAGCAATAACACTATTTCAGTGCTGAAATTTCAATCTGATCAAATTACCATCTAACCATTTGCTTAGTAACACTCATATGAAAGATTCAGTAAATATGAAGGGGGACCCAAACCACCCTCCACCCCCTAATTATCTTCTGGAGGGCGGGCCCCCTGTAGTACAGGCCTCCTCTGCTAGGGGAGCATCCTAGGATCCCATCTATATCAGTGTACCAACTGGCATTGTTGTGAGAGGTTGTGTTCACCTTCAGTGAATTTTTTTAAGACTCAATACATGTGTCCACACAGCACTGAGTGTTAAGCAGTTTTTTGGTGAAAAACGGCAGGACCCCCACGCCCCACCCTCCTATTCACCCAATCTCGCTCTGAGAGACTGTTTTTTGTTCCCCAGATTAAAAAAAAAAACCAATGTGGAAGAGGTGAAACAAAAAATGGCAGAAGCACTAAAAGGCATCACAATTGACAAGTTCAAAAACTGTTTTTGATCAGTGGGAAAAACATCTCAATAAGTGTATTGCATCAAATGAAGAATGCTTTGAAGGTGACTGAAGTTTAAACACAAGAATATACAATTTTCTATAAATAAATTCCACTTTTTTTGGGTCCCCCCTCATACAGTAAGCTCTAAAGATAGTGGTGATGGCATAGCACAAATGGGAAAAATAACCCAAAACATGTTTATACTTGCACTTGAAAAGGGTGTTAATGTGTTTTTAAATACCAGATTTATCTTCTTAACTGGGGACATTATATGCTAAAAAGAAATCTGTATTATCTAAGTTCATAATGGCCAGGCAAGTGAGGACATGAAGGAAAAGAAGAAAGAACAGAATAGTGTTCAGTGGTTAGAGAAAAGCTGGTCCTAAATTTCAGTCTGTTCCTCATATAAAAAGAATAAATAGTTCTCTTTCCACATCTAATAGTTATGTTCATTAATATAAAGTAAAAGAGTTCATTCATCCAAAGAAAGAGTTCTACTTCAGTATGTTAAATTCAGGAAAAGAGAACATTTTTCACATTAAAGATAAACTACTTACATCATGAATAAGCTCTCCTTCCAAAAACTTGACTGGTTTTAAAGTAAGAAGATGGTCAAAAAGAAATGCATTTGGATCTTTCAATGCTCGTACAATACACCTTAATTAGAAAACAAAAATCCAAGCTCAAGAGTCTTGAAATTCAGGTATGTTTCACTGAATTTGCAGGATGCAATACATTTATTTCAGTAAAATATTTAAGAGTTCAATATACACAGTGTAAGAAAAGCTGGAAGACTGGGGTTAAAACAGGCCAATAAATCTATCAAGTATATCTGATATAACAAAACAATAAAATAGTTGTAGACAAAAACATAGCTGGAGAGAAAGTACCATAAAGTAATCAAAGAATAAATAAAACACCTTATCATATGCCAGACAGTAAGGTAGGTGCTTTATATGCATTAACTCATTTAATCCTCACAATATCCTGTGAGACATATAGTCCTCACGCCCATTTTATGAATGACCAAACTGGCTCAGAGAACTTGCCCAGTAAGGGCTAATTAAGTGTTAGATTATTTGAATGCAGGCAGTCTGACCTCGAAGATCTTTTCTATTAACTATCCTTTCAGCCAACACCTATCATGTATAGGTCCTTGTGAAGCAAAACCCTGTAAGATACCATGGTTTGTTTTTAGCAAGCCAACAACTTTTCCTCATCTACACACCTTAATTGACCTAAAATTAGATTGTTTTTTCAGGTTGGGATTTTCAGCCTATATCAGCAATACCCAAACAGCAAACACCATGTGGCTATTCACATATAATATATGGTTCTTTCAACAGCAAATCCTGAATTTTAGTACTGCCATTAGAATCACCAACGTGCACAAAGTATCAAAGGCTTTGGCTCACGGCTGGATGCAGACATGATTTCAGTTAAATGACTGAATACTGTAGCCAGCTCTAAGCTGCTGATAACTATCATTAGAACAATATGTTAAACAGTACCTGTGGGCATCAACTCGAGCCTGGGAAGCATTGTCCTCCGTGTAACTTCCTAGCAATTCGACCATGACTTTTGAAGCAGCATCACTAAAAAGAAACACTGCTTTAAAAATTTCTATCATCACTGTCACCCATTCATTCAAAAATATTTACTGTGCCAAGTACTGTGCTAATGGTACACACAATGGTCACCAAGAGAGATAAGGTCACTCTCTATGGGAAAGTCATGGAACTTTCCTTCTAGTAGGAAAGACAAACAACTAAGGATGCCACGAAGGAAGTAAATGGGATGTAATAGAGTAACAAAAGCAGAGACAGAAAAGAACGGGCTACTTTATGTAAAATGAGCAGGTCAAGTGTCTCTCTTTCTGAAGAAAAACACATAAACTTAAATTTAAAGGATATAAAATAACTGAAATTGTTAGGACAGTATGGCCAAAGTTGAACTACATACACTAACTGTTTAACTCTACTAAATATATTCTTCTAATCAACATCCTCAAAATTATGCAGATGATCAATTTTGACTTAGAAAATGTTTATCTTCACCCTTCATTTCTTCTCATGGACTGATGAATCTTCAGCCAGTTATATAAAGCTTTGCTAAGTAGAATAGGGTTTTTTCTTTTTTCATTTTGTGAAACACTTTTCCTTGCCCACATCTGGATTCAACCTAGATAAAAATCATAAACACCATTTGATTTATTTAACTTATTCCAGAGAGAATGGGGGAGGGGGCAGGAGAGAAACACTGATTGGCTGCCTCTTGCAGGTGCTTCAGCCGGGAACTGTACCCACAACCCAGGCATGTGCCCTGACCTGGAATCTAACCTACCACCTTTTGGTCTATGATATGACACTTCAACCAACTGAGCCACGCCAGGTAGGGCCATGATTTATTTTTAAAAGTTAAATGATATTCTAAAACCTCCCACAAAACTAAGGTTTATTAAAATACATAATTGTAGGAGTGGCTAGGTGGTAACCAGCATCTTAAATGTAGTTATATAACTGGTAGAATTCAAAGAAAAAAATTTAAGAAAAACTGTGTTTTACTCAGGAGTCCTTATTGTGCCACACTGTATGTGCAGGCACACTCTTCAGTTTTAGCAGCCACAGTATAACCAGGTACAGTTTATCAGCTTAAGTCTGAATTCACAAAGATGAGATAAAATAGTCCATTAAAAGGGTTCAAGAAATACATGTTTACATGTACACAATACATGTATAGGGTTCAAGAAAATGTTATACAGTTTGTACTCATTAACCACCAGTATGTATAAAAATTATAAAGCAGCACCTGTAAATGTAAGCATTCTTACTAAAAGGGCAAGGCAAATTTCAGGATTCTATTTAGAAGCAGGAATAAAACCCATTTTTTGTGTACTTAAGCAAAAACTGTCTTAAATTTACTTTAGCATGACAGTAATACAGCATTTAAATAACCAACCTCTTCTAGTTCCCTAAGCGTGGGCACACTCATCCATTTAGGCCATGATATGCCAGACACCTTGGGAACACAGGGGTTGACAGACAAGGCTCCTAGTTTCCAACTTGCCTTTTAACAAAGGGTGTTAGGTGCCGTGATAAAGGGAGAGGGCACTGTACAAAGAGGGCACCTAACCTAAACGTGGGAGTTTTCCAGATGGAGAAACCAAGTTGAGTGGAAGTCTAGGCCACCGGCAGGCAAACTTTCTGGGAAGGGCACAACACACAGTAAATAGTTTAGACTTTGCTGGCCTTATGGTCTTTGCTGCAACTACTCAAGTCTCCAGGAACTTGCAGGCCTGGAACCCCATTGCCCACCACACCCACCACAAGGGTGGTACCCTGAGACTGAGGTGACTTGGACATAAAGGGACATTTTCCACAGCCAAGGGAACACCTCCTCACCCCGATCCTAGAGGTGCCAGTAGGGCAAGAGAAAACAAAAACTGGTGCTATAGCACCATCTACTGGAAAACAAATGAAAGGCCACTACTTATCAACCTGCTGAATTGTTAGGAGCAAAACATAACTTGAAGAGTTCAGCACCTCAAATGCCCAAGCAGAGAAATAATCCATCAAATGCCATGAATAACCAAGGAAACAAGGTAGCTCAAAAAGAAAATGAAGTCTCCAGAAACCAAACTCAAACACTTGAAAGACTATAATTTAAATGACAGAGAATTCAAGATTGCAGTTATGAAAAAACTCAACAAGATGCAAGAAAATTCAGCAAAGCAGTTCAGTGCAATCAGTAATAACATCGACAAGCAAAAGTGGTATTTTGCCAAAGAGACTGAAACTATAAAAGGAAATTCTGGAACTGAATAACTCAATAAATAATATTAAGAATGAACAGAGAATACTGGAAACAGAGCAGAACAGATGGAAGAGAGAACTGGTGAGCTCGAAGACAGAAATCTAGAAAGGACTCAGATGGAAGAAGAACAAGAACTAAGAGTTTTAAAAAATGAAAAAAACTCTACAAGAACTGTATGACTCCATTACAAAAAGCAACATAAGAATAATGAGTAATATCAGAAGGAGAGAGGGAGAAGGAAACAGAGAGCCTATTCAAACAAATAATAAGACCTGCATTATAAGAACGTTGAAAGGAGCTCTTCTACCTGAAATGAAATGACAAAAGTATACGAACTTTGAGTAAGATGACAGAGCAGGATATTGCATCCCTATTTCTGGATAGGGGATCAACCAATTATAACATAAAGGTAAAGGGGAAAAAACACCTAAAAGATATAACTATTGCGACTTGGAAATGAACAGCATAAGGGATAATTTGTGACAACAAAAATATAGAAGGTGAATGAAGATAAAATGCAATCAGAAGTAGACTACTGTATGCGTGAAACATTTTATTACACAAATCTAGTGGTAGTAACACACACACACACACACACACACACACACACACACAAAACAAAGAATAGAGCTAAGACATGTAACATTTTTGAAAAAAGGAGGAAAATGAGAAAATAAACTAAAATAGCAGAGTGAAACACAAGGGAAAAGAAGTAAGACAGAGCGCTATCAGAAAAGATAAAATGGCTGTAATAAGTCCTCATGTATCAATAATCACCCGAAACGTAAATGGACTGAACTCACCAATCAAAGGCAGAGTGGTGGGATGCATTAAGAAATAGGCCCAAACTATTATGTTGCCTTCGGGGAGCCTAGCTCAGCTACAAAGGCAAAAACAAAGTGAACGGGTGGAAGATGATACTCCAACCAAATGCCAACCAAGAGAAAAGCGGATGTAGCCTTACTTGTATCAACAAAATACAGGTTTCAAGATAAAAAAGGTAGCAGGAGACAAAGATGGACATTTTATCATTGCAAAGGGGATGATTCATCAAGAAGACACAATGTTATTAATATGCGTGCCCCCAACCTGGGAGCACCAAAATATATAAAACCTTAGAAATCTAAAGGGGAAAGTGAGAAAAATATGATTATTGTAGAGGACCTGAATAACCCACTGATAGCAATCATCCAAACAGAAAGTCACTAAGCCCTTAAATGGCACACTGCATCAAATGGACATTAATATTTACAGACCTTCCATTCCATAATGACAGACTATACTTTCTTCTCGAGTGCACAAAAAACGTTCTCAAGGATTTGTTATATGTTGGAGCACAAAACTAATCTCAATAAACTTAAAAAGACAAATCAAATCAAGAAGTTTCACACCACGTCATGAAACTGGAATTAACTACAAGAGAGCTAGAAAAACCACTAATATGTGAAGATTAAACATGCTACTGAACAACTACTGGGTTAAAGAACAAATAAACAAAGACATCAAAAGATACATCGTGATAAATGAAAATACCACATATCAAAATTCTAGGATGCAGCAAAAGTGGTACCGAGAGGAAAGTTTACATGCTTAACTCAAGAAACAAGAAAAAAAATCTCAATCTAACATTATACCTTAAAGAAATAGAAAATAAGGACAAACAAAGCCCAATATTAGCAGAAGGAAGGAAATAAAAATTAGAGTGGAAATAAATGAAACAGAGAACAAAAAGACAACAGGAAAAAACTAATAAAACAAAGAGCTAGTTCTCTGAAAAGATAAATAACATGACAAACCTGTGGTTAGATTTACTAAGAAAAAAGAGAAAAGATCAAAATCAGAAATGAAAGAACCTTACAATGGACACCACGGGATTATACAACAATATATACTATGAAGGGCTATACGTCACCAAATTTGATAACCTAGAAGAAATGGACAAATTCTTAGAAATATGTAACCTTCCAAAACAGAATGATGAAGAACTGGAAAACCTCAATAGATTGATCACTAGTAAGGAAATTGAAACAGTAATCAAAAACCTCCTAAAAATCAAAAGTCCAGGACCAAATGGCTTCATTGACGAATCTACCTAACAATCTAAGATGACTTAGTATGTATCCTTCCCAAATGTTTCCAAAAAAAAATCGAACAGGAGGAAATACTCCCTAACTCATTTTATGAGGCCAACACTACCCCGACACCAAAACCAAACAAGGACAATCCAACAACAGCAATAACGACAATTACAGGCCAATATCTCTGATGGACACAGGTGCAAAAATCCTAAACAAAATGTTAGCAAACTGAACACAATACATGAAAAGGATCATACATCATGATCAAGTGGGGTTCATTCCAAGAATGCAGAGGATGGTTGAACATATATGCAAATCAACCAATGTGTCACACCACATCAACAACAAAGATAAAAATCATATGATCATAGCAATAGATACAGAAAAAGCATCTGACAAGACATAACATATATTTATGATTACAATAATCAAATGGATACAGAAGTAAAGTACCTCAACTAATAAAGGCCATATATGACAAACCCTCAACTAATGTATCAATGGCAAAACACTAAAACCTTTTCCTCTAAATTAGGTACTAGACAAGGATGCCCATTCTCACCATTGTTATTCAATATATTGATAGCACAGGAGAAGTCCTAGTCAGAACATTCAGGCAAGAGGAAGAAATAAAAGGCATCCCAGTTGGGGGTGAAGTAAAACTGTCACTGTTTGCAGACAACATGATCTATGTACAGAAATGAATCCAACAAAAGACTATCAGAAACAACAAGCAAAAATAGTAAAGTTGCAGGATAGAAAATCAGTATACAAAAATCCATTGTATTGAAGTATACTAACAGTGAAATACCAGAAAAAGGAATAAAACAATCCCATTTACAATTTCAACACAAAGGATAAAATACCTAAGAATAAACTTAACAAAGAAAGTGAAGGATCTGTAAGATGAAACCTGTAAGACATTTTTGAAAGAAATCGAAGAATATACAAAAAATGGAAAGATTATCTGTATTTATGGATTGGAAAGATTAACACCCTCAAAATTGCCATATTAACTAATGCAATACACAAATTTAATGCACAATCCCATCAAAATCCCAATGGCATTTATCACAGAAACAGAACCAAAGAAATCCTCAAATTTGTCTGGAACCATCAAAGACCCTGAATAGCCAAAGCAACTCAGACAAAAGAAAAAGTCAGGTTTCAAACTATACTACAAAACTCTAATAATCAAAACAATAAGGTACTGGCACAAAAACGGACACACAGACTAATGGAACAGAATTCAGAGTCCACAAATAAACACATATCTAAGTTCTGACAGAGGAGCCAAAAACACTCAATGGAGAAAGAAAAGTCTCGTCAGTAAATGGTGTTGAGAAAACTGAAAAGCCACATGCAAAAGAAAGAAACCAGACTGCTGACACCCAATAACTCAATAAATTAAAGTGTTGAATGTAATCACTAGTTAAAAGGAAACATCTAAACCACATGAGATAACACCTCACACCTGTGAGAACGGCTATTACCAATGAGACAAGACGTAAGTGCCCTGACCAGTGTGGCTCAGTTACTTGGGCGTCATCCAGCAAAGCCAAAGGCTGCCTGTTTGATGCCTGGTCAGAGCACAGGCCTGGGCTGTGGGCTCAGTCCCTGGTCGGGGCATGTACAAGAGGCAACCAATTGGTGTTTCTGTCACGTTAATGTTTCTCTTCCTTGCTTCTTCCCTTCCCTTCCTCTCTCTCTAAAAATAAGTAAAATCTCAAAAAAGAAAAGAAGTGATGGAGAGGATATAAAGAGGGAAATCTCCCCTACTGCTGGTAGGAATGAGAACTGGTGCAGCTACTTTGGAAACAGTATGGAGGTTCCTCAGATTAACAATAGAACTACCATAGGACCCAGCAATCCCTCTTCTGGTTATTTACCTGAAAAATTTGAAAACATTTATCTATACCCTTATGTTTACTGCAGCATTATTCACAATAGCCAAGACATGGAAATAACCTAAGTGTCCTTTGACAGATGACTGAATAAAGACATGGTACATACACACAAAGGAATACTACTCAGCCATAAAAAAGAAATATTGTCATTTTCAACATAGGTGGCACTTAAAGAGTATTATGCTAAGTGAAATAAACAGAAAAAGACAAGAACCATATTTTCACTTTTATGTGGGATATAAAAGAACAAGCGACAAATGAACAAGTAATGCAAATAAGCAAAAAACCCCACAAAAACAACAAACCCCCCCCCCCCCAAAACCCCATAGATACAGACAACAAAGTGGTGATTACCAAAGGGCAAAGGGGCTGGGGAGGGAGAAGAGGGCAAAGGAAGTCAAATATGTAGTGCTGGAAAGAGACTAGACTTTGAGTGGTGAGCAGTAATAAAGAATACAGATACTGTATTATAAATTGTATATCTGAAACTATATAATGTTATTAACTAACCAATGTTACCCCAATAAATCTGTTAACATATTTTTTTAAATAAGGGATAAGTGATCATCTGTGACAAATGCAGCAGATAAATTTCTGATGTTAACATTAGGATATGTCCAGTAGAGCAAAGATGGGTATTCATGTCCTATCTCAGTTTCTCTGAGAATTGGCTTTGGAATTCTTTAGAACATTACTTCCCTAGGACATGTAACAGACTGAGGACCTAGTAGACGGCAGTAAGAGAAATCATCCACAATGAGTAGTAATCATCTGTGGTGAGTGCCACGGAAGAGGGAAACAATACTCATCTTTTTAATTTACTGTACCAGAAAATAGGCCAACTTCTTAAAGTGAAAAAAATGAAAAGGATAGTGATAGAAATAATATCCAACATTTACTAGTGCTTTCTCAATAATTCAGCCACTGTTTTATGTATAATATCTTTAATCTTTTTGACAACCCTTTGAGCTAAGTACTAGTGTTTCTACTTCAAAGTTGAAAACAGAGGTACACACATGGTAAATAACTTATCTAAGGCCATACAAGTAGAAAAACCAACATTTGAATGCCAGTAGTCTGATACTATAGCCTGTATATTTGAAGTGTGGATTAAAATATGGATTATTTCTCCCAACTGTTTTTATGCTCCCTGCATGCCATCCCCCACCCCATTTGAAATGGTCTGTTATTAACTACCAAGTCTTATCACTTTACTGCCAACTGGCTGGAATGCTGCCACAGTGTGCCAGCATATGATAGATAGTAAGTACTGCTTTGGAAAGAAATAGGCTATTAATGCAAGATCCCCTGCTTATCTTTTAAAATAAATGCTCCAAATTTCAAAATAAAAATTTAATTTCCTTGCTGCATTGTTGAATTTAAAGTCTGAAAAAAAAAATTTACATTCTTTTAACATAATAGAAACACAGTAGTCTTGTCGATCCTCTCGAACATATTCAACACCCTAGCACTGAAAACCAGTATAAAAACTGTGCAGTGAAACTACACTGAACAGTGATTACTTTCTGTGTACATAGAAGAATATTTTGGAAATGAAGTTTGCTGGGCTGGACACAAGCCCTAGAAATCCAATAGATACTCATTTTGTACAGTCTATTGCAAAGTTTCAACTGGGGGGCATTGTTCATATAAGAGACTTTGTGGAAACTGTTAGGCCGACCCTCACCTCTATTAAACAAAAGCAACAACACTGTTCTGTACTAAGACATTAAAGCACCATTAAATAAACTTATCTGGTATTATAGACAGCTCTGGGATTAATAGATGTACTATTTTTATAGCAAAAGTTTTGCTTTTTAAGAAGTTAAAAGATGGGGAAAAACTATTTTAAAATCTGAAGTTACCTTTGATAGGTGAAATTTACAGAAACAGATTTATAGCAACTCATGGAGAACCAAGTAGAGCAAAAATCACTTTCCCTACCTATCTTTAAAAATCAGCCATCAACTACTCATTTTGCCTGTTCATTTTTAACTTAGGACATTAATTCTGAATACCTTTTCTTACAATCCACAAGTGCTTCATAAAGTAGTCTTAAAAGGGTATGTTTTTTTTCAGTGGTGAGGTTCCAGTCAGAAATCCACTTTCTAACCTATGATGAGATTGACAAAAGGAGAAAATTTAGTGATCCAGCTTAACATATTTGCTACTTATTTTAGTTATAATATAAAACTACATTTCTTAAAAGCAGAACAAGTGCCCTGGCTGGTGTGGCTCAGTGGACTGATAGCCAGCCTGCAAACCAGTGTTGGTGGTTTGATTCCCAGCACATGCCTGGGTTGCAGGCCAGGTCCCCAGTAGGGGCGCTCAAAAGGCAACACATTGATGTTCCTCTTTCTCCCCCCTTCCCCTCTCTAAAAATAAAATGAATAAAATCTTTAAAAAAGAAAAAAAAAACAAACAAAAAACAAAAAACCAGAAGTTATTCCATATAACTCACTTGATCCAGCTCAGTTGGAATATATTGGATGGCCCCACAGGACGCTGCCACTTTAATGAGGCTGCAATATACTGTGTATCTTACTGGAGTATTCTTATCCATTCCATGGAAAAGGTTGCTTAGCCTGGTTAACAAGTAATTTAAAAAGTTTGAGATCAGTAACTTTGGTGATTCAGTTGCGATTATCTGGCTAACAAACCCAAGACAGATACTATTAATAACGTCACATTACAAGGAGGGAAGGGATGAGGGCAGGGAGGGTGTCATGCAGAAAGGTTAAATGACTTGTCCCAAGTCACGCAGCTTAATAAAAGCCATAGCTGATAGTCAAATTCCAGAATTCTTGCTTTTAACCAATCAAATGAAGAGTCCCTAGAAAAACGGAGCCTCTTTCATTTCTCAACTTACAACTGCAGTCTCAGAGATGGGCGTTCACCTTCCCGAAATTTGACCAGCTTTTCACAGAGGTTTTCAATCAGAGCTTCCTGCTTTTCTGGCTCCAAGATCAATAGGAGGGATACCACACTATTCATCACACTTTCAACATCTACACATGAATGGGTAACACAACAGCAATACTTTAATACTTACTGTATCTAGTTAAATATGTATTTCTAGCATTCAAAGACCATTAAACATTAGTTTAAAAAGATGTAATCTAGCTACCGTAAAACAGTTCTAAAGGCCACTTCCTTCAATGGTGTGCACTATACCAAAAATATACATGAATACAAACTAAACTAGCTCTGTTGTAGAGCTAACATTCAAAAAACAATTTGTACGTTTTATTAAAGAAATTATTACCTAACATTTGGTTTTTATTCAGTAAAACAAAAAACTGATTTACATGTATATATGGTTTCAGTTTTTACTGGCAAGATATAATTCAATCATGTGGAAGTTACTAGTTAGGTCTTAGGCTAGGATGTTTTCCCAATGGAAGAAAACTTTGTACATACAAACAGAAAAATTATTAAGAAATGAAAGCTGTCTACTTTCTGGTTAGGTCACCTAATTTTCAAGTGTAAGCTGCTAGTCATATATCAAGTTTGATCTCAAACCTTAACTAGAGATTTCAGGACTCCCAATTTTCAAAATTTCCCACTTCATTTCAATAAGTGGGGCATCAGCCAAATAATTAAATGGCTTTTAGATTAGTTATTATATTCCACTTGCTATTAATCTAAACCTTATGAAAAAGAAGTGCTTCATTTTTTTTCTTCAGTGCAGTCTATAATTATCAGTATTTAGTGTGTGTAGTGACACTCAAAAGTCATTCCTGATGTAAAAAAGTTGTTTTCTCAAAATGGGCTTACTTCATAGTTATAACAGATTAGAATAAACTGAAAGTATGTGCAAAGATTAGAAACAGCACCTAAAAGTTCTAAGGTCTAAAACAAATATAATTCACAAGAAAATTAAAAGGTAGGTTCTTCATTATTAGAAATATTATAAAAAATTAAAAACAAACCTTTATCATCTTCCTTCAGACACACATCACAGGCTTCAATAATCTGAGCTAAATCTACATGAAGTCCCCCTTCTGAGTTCTCTTCTGAAATTTCAGCTCCTTTAGACTTCAGATAAGCTCGAAGCTCTGCAGCCTGGTGAATCAAACAGGGTTGCTGAGTTATCCATAAAACTGACCACAAAATGACAAAATATATGATCTCGAACCATTCTGTCCTCCTTCTGAAAAAATTAAATACAGATGCTGCACTGAACACTGACTTTACCTCACTCATCATCACAGCCCCACAGTGTGCCCTCTACAAACCCGAGACTACACAGCCCCACTAGGGTCACCTTCAGAATCTCTCTCATATCGCCTATATCCTGCCCTAACTCCAGTATACAACACGCATCTTTCTACTGTAACTCAAAGCCCTGGGGGGCGGGGGGCGGCGGGCAAGGGGCATGGGATCTGACTTGGTAAATTCAATTTTTAAAGAAATGAAACTTCATTGCTCTCAGGTGTACACAACACAGCTATTTTAAAGTCACACACACTACCTTGGCAAAAGGTAAATTAAATGTTTGAGAACCTATCTGAGATGAGCATTTTGGGAAACAAAGAAAAAGATGATGCCTTGCCTTTGAATGTTTCCTTGAATAAACTATTTGTATCAAATTGGATCTATTATGTAAATAGCCTTTTAAAATGCAAAATGCCTATCTGGATCAAAAAGCACCTTTGGACCTATAAAAGTATATCTACAGGACTGCATCCTGTATTTAGACATTTTCTACTGTAAGGTGTATATGTGGCATTTAATAACTTGCTCCTTTTAGAGATTCCTATGTATGGTAACCAAACACCAATGTAAATGCTATTTAAGATAATAAAATGAGGAACTAAAACAGGGAGAGGTGAGGATACCATTGGTAAATGCCTGGATATTACATTTTCTAAACCCACAAACATGTTCTGGCTACTTAAGAAAAGCATATTAAGCCTGTAGATCTGATGGTACTATCCTTTCAGCTAAGCACATAGTAACTTCACATGAGCTGGTAGTAAAACAAGACTTCATAAAACAACTGTCACCCTACCAGAGAGCATAAAAATACCACTGGGAAGTATACTTCTCTATTAAAAAACCCCATAACACTGTCAAAAAAGAGGGCACTTGTTCAGTTTCTGCTTTATAGATACAAAGTGAACTTTCTCTAATAACTATTCAACAGTTTATTGTTTTTAATCTGTTGTTGTCACTGATCATGGGTAGTAGCTGTGGAGGGGTACAAACAAAGGAAGAAACAAGGATTCTCAACTCCATTTCCCAACTTTAATTAAGCAGGGAATTTGATCAAAGATAAACTCCTGAAAGCAATCACCTTTTACCTGAAAGGAATGTGTAGTGTGGAAATGATATATTACAACAACAGTAGCATAACCTAACTAGAAATGGCACTTTAAAACTCAAATATGATTAGTAATTTCCTGCATTTACAAATATTTTTCCATGTTAAAAAATACTTTTTTCAGTAACCTCATAGTCAACTGTTGACAACATGGTTCCATGACGAAGAAGACATGCTTTTTTCTTTCTTGTTGTTCACATCTTTCTAACTGTGCTCAACTCCTTCTCCAGACTGAATTTTAAATTTTTTTTTTTCATTTCAGTTCTTTACTTTGCTCTTCAGGGCTGAGGGTCTGCCTTTCTTCTGGAAGGGGTGGGTGGTGAATGACATCTGCAATTCTGAAACCACGTCAGAACAGTAATGCTGTCTTTTATGGAAACCAAAGTTTCCACGTTAGTACTCCAGTAATGAAATAAAAAATGACAACACGAGTTCACAGAACAGCTTTCAGTCTGCAAAATTACCTTAGAGATCATTTCATGTTTAGTTTAACTCCCACCAACTACAGTTTAGCTTTTGTTATGGGGAAAAGTGCAAAAGTTCCCTATCCAAATGGAACATTTAAAAATGCTAGGACGGCTCACCAGGTGTATGCCTCAGAGTATGAAGGCGGAATTGACGTTTCATTTTCAGGTTACAGACCTCTCACGCTTGCACAGTAGGAATATAAAATATGGTCTGTGTACAAAATAGGCCACCTGTGCCTTTGTGGTCCCATTAACACCACTTTGATTTTTAGTACAAAATTATTTTTCCTTACTTACGCTGTCTAAATATTTGCCACCTCCTACTCCGGATGTGGCTGAGTCGTGGAGACGGAAACAGATACCAATGAGTCAAACAGTAAAGTGACTCTGGGCTGAAAAAGTACTGACGCCGACCAGGAAACTGGAGTGAAGCCTGGAGCCCACGCTGGGACAGTCGTCCAGTGGGCTGCTGCAGCTCCAGGCCACGAACGCTCGCCCCAGCCTCCCGGCTCTCCATTCCCACGTGCGAAGTGAGTCGTGGCTCTCAGCTCCGGAGCCGGCTCCGCGGAGGCGTTCCTCCCTTCAGGCCCAGCCTATACTTGGCCCTTCACACCCCAAGGCTCGCCCAACCCCACCCTGGCGTCCCCTCCGGCCCCGGAGCATACCTGATCTTCCTCACTGATGTCGATGAAGGCCGGGACACTCATGGTGAAGGCCCGAACGCGGCAGACACTCCACTCGCCAACACGCCGGCCGGAAAAGGGAGCTGATACGCACGGTGGCGCCTGACAACCGCTTCCGGGTCACCTCGCGCGAGTCCAGAGGGACAGAGTCACTAGTTCGGGAGGGGGCCACGGGGGCCAATCAGACCGCGCGCTTTAGCCGCGTCTGGAGGGGGGCGGGCGTGCCCTCAGGGGCCGCCTCCCTACGTAGAGGCTCCGGCTTTAACGTCTAAGACGGTGTAGCTTGCAGTTTACTTACCCCGTCTCCTGCTTGAAGTTTTAAGACTGTCGAGTGAACGAAAATTACTTGTGATCAGAACAGCCTTTCTGTTCCATGCCTCGTCCCCTCGCACTTCCTGGCGCTTCCTCGTACGTTGCTCCCAGCAGCCACTTGGCCCTGCCTCCCTTTGCACGCAACCGAATCTAACTCCCTCTTAGCAATCCCGAAAGAGCCTTTGGAGTATGCATTTGTTGCTGAGTCTGTTAAATTTTTTTTTTTTGAGTTATAATTTAACCAATTTTTCAGACTTTATTTAGGCACGACCTGGTAGGCAGTGTTCTGTGCGCTGGGGAGAACAGTAGCTTTTAAAGGACGTTCTCACGTGCCATTTACATTCCAGTGGGGACACACAGAACAGAAACATTGCGAAGTTATTAGGTGGCCCTCGATGGCATCATGTTTTACAGCATAGACTCCAGGGTTGAATTCCTTGGAATGGGATCCTTGCTGACTTGGGACAATTGCTTAATCTTTAGCTTCAGCTTCCTCTGGAGAAAATGGGAGTAAATACTTTTTAAGTGTTGTTGTGAGGGTTAAGTAAATTAATATATAAAGCACAGGGTGAGCACTGAATGTGTTAGCTATTATTAAATAATTGCCGTAGGTAACATGTTAGCTAACACTAAGAAAACAAACACTGAGAAAGAGGGTGGTGTATATGAGTGTGTGCATGTCTTTTTAGAGTGATCAAAGGGCTCAAATGACATTGAAAGCTGAAGAAAATGAGGAAAGTACCAATGAAGAAAATTGAGAGAAAGCTTTTCATGCAGAAAAGCAAATAAATAAATAAATAAGTAAATAAATGTGAGGAAGATGCAAGGAGGCCTGTGGGCTGGATTTCAGTAAGAAAGTAGGAAATGGAAAGTAGGCAATAGGAAATGATATAGCCATGACCAAATCATAGTCTTGTAGTCTAAGAATTTTGGCTTTGACTCTTAATGAACTGGCAAACCTCAGACAGCTTTTGAGTGGAAGCATGAGATCAAACTAAAATTGTTTGTTTGTTTGTTTGTTTTTGGTAAAGGATCACTCTGACAGGTGTGTTGAAAATTGACCACTTCTATGTCCGGCTTATTTTCATCTAGCATAATGTTTTCAAGGTTGTGTCATGGATCAGTTTTTTTTTTAAGATTTTATGTATTTTTAGACAGAGGGGAAGGGAGGGAGAAAGAGAGGAAGAGAAACATCAATGTGTGGTTGCCTCTCAGGAAACGCCTACTGAGGACCTGGCCCCCAACCCAGGCATGTGCCCTGACTCGGAATCAAACTGGTGATCCTCAGTCCACTGAAGGCCGGCACTCAGTCCACTGAACCACACCAGCCAGTGCTGGTTCTTCATTCCTTTTTATTGCTTAACAATATTCCATTTTATGAGTATACCACATTTTATTTATCCATTCATCAGTAGATGCATATCTGGGTTGTTTCCATTGTCTGGCTATTATGAAAAATGCTTCTATGAACATTTATGCACAGGATTTTGTGTAATTCTATTCCAGGCTATATACCTAGGAGTAAAGTTATTGAGTTACATGGTAACTGTATGTTTAGATTTTTGAGGAGCTGTTTTCCAAAAAGGCAGCAGCTTTATTTTTAATAGCCCAAATCAGGCAACAACCCAAATGTTCATCAACAGGTGAATGGGTAACAAATTGTTGTTTATCTATGCAACGGAATACTACTCAGCAATGAAAAAGTGTGAACTATTGATACATGCAACAGTACAGATAAATCTCAAAGTAATTTTGCTGCATGAAAGAAACCAGATATACTGTTAAATTCCATTTTTATAAAACTCTCGAATTTACAAACTAGAGTGGCAGCACTGTGGATTGTTGTTACCTGGGTGGGGGGGGAGTAGGCAAGAAGTAAGGAGAGAAGGGTTACAGAGGGGCGTGAGGAAGATTTTGGGGGTCATGGATATGTTCATTTCCTTGATTGTGGCAAGTGTGCCATAGCTGTGTGTATAAGATTTATTGAGTTGTGTACTTAAAAATATGTGGTTTACTGACATCATGATTGTATCTCAATATAAAAATTAGCAGGCAAAATAAAAACAGAGGGGTAGGTAGGACAGAGAACATTTGGATAGACTAAACTTAAAAGGATTCATTATGGTATGGAATACCGTTGCTGATGGAGAAACACTTGAACCTGAAGGCAGGGAACATACGCACACATTTACCCGGCATTCCTTTCACCTACCTCGATGCCCAGAGCCCAGCAAGCAGTCAAATGATAACTGTTGGTCCTGAAGGAATAATCCCCAAGCTCCTCCCCCAAGACACTTCATTACTGCAAAGTTCTAGAAACACAAACTAAGAAATACATGTACCATTTCATCAAACATTTCAAAGTTTTATTGCTTTTGCTATTTTTCTTCATTCTATGGTCTTTGTGAAATAAAAGCACATTTTTTCAAGGAAGTTCTCCAGAGGGAGATAGTGAAAGACTATGGCAAAATTATTTGAAACTTTCATTCATTTACTCATAGTTTTTTCATGTATTGATTCATAGATATATTTATCTCTAAATATATGTGCCATGATGTGCCCATTTATGTGCCAGGTACTGCTTAGGCACTTGGGATACAAGAGTGAACAAAATTAAGGGATACATCTTGATTGGGGATGGGAACACTCATGTGTCCCAGCTTGAAAACCAGTTTTCTAAACTTTTCTCCTAATTTTCAAAAGACAAGAAATTGAGTTCTATTCCTAATAGCTACTGGATAGGAGAACCACTCCCAAATAAACAATAGAGACCAACCTCATGGGAAAAGGGGTGTATTCTACTTTCCTATGCCTTATAGTCATTTAAAATTATATCTCAGGTTAAATTGATTATATATATATATTTTTTAAATTTTAGCTTTATTTTGTTAAAGTAAATGATCTATGGGCTTTGAATTTTTTTAATTTTAGCTTTATTTTTGGTAAAGCAAGGAGTCGGTGGGCTTCTTTTCCTTTTTCACATAAGTCTCTCTTAACTGAGACAAGTGGTACAAGAAATATGGTCTATTCTTCTACATACGGCATGTTCCATATGTTCCAAATGTTGCAGACAAAGAAATTTGGAGCCAGTTGAAACTGGAGCTGGCCAATTTCAACTTGATCCTATGCTTGAAATAAAATATAGGCCACTGGTGTGTTAAAGGCAATAAAACGAGAAGTGTCATTTACTCTAACACAATGGCAACCTGTTGTTATTTATTGTATCGTATACTTTAGAGCTTCTTATAAACATACCTAGGAACTTTCAAAAAGGAATTACCAAGAAGTTGAGCAAAGTCCGAATCTTCTTCAAGACAATATTCTCTTAGTTGGTTGTTTTACCTGAAAAATATAACCAAATACTTATAGTTCTTTATTGTTTAATTTGTCTGCTTTCCCTCTAGTATTATCTTGTTGTTCTTTCTGATTAAAAATCCTAGAAAAACTGGATTTAGCTGTATTTTAATTATTATATTTGCCAAGGGCATATTAATGTTTTTCACTTGAACTTTTATCATTACACCAAAACTGCACCCCTTTTGTTTTTTGCACAGAGAATGCTTTCCATGATATTAATATTTAAAACTTGTCTTCAAATCTATATTAGCCATCTCAAAACTATGGAACTATTTACCTGATAAAAAAGAGTATATTTTTATTTTAAAATAGCACATGTAGCCAATTACCTAAATAGTAATGCCATATTATAGAGGCTAACCCTTCAACATGGGTGTCCTTTACAGTAATTAGTCATCACCCTTGACCTGTACCAATGTGGTGGGAGCTCTGAGAAGGTGGAGGTGTGATCTATAGTGCATCCTTCACTTATCAAAGGCCTGACACAAAGAAAGTACAATATATATTTTTTGTGTTAATGCATGATACCATAAAATTTAACTAAATGGATTTTTAATAAATCTCTGATAATTGCTTTATATTTTAATTTTGAATGAAAAATAGAGGAATGGTTACAATATTATAGAAAGACATGGGAAAGACTTTTTTAAAGTGTGGCAGAGACTGCTGCTTGTCAACCTTTTATCCATCCCCTCATTTCTTTGGAGCAAAACCCTCCCTATAGTGTGGATGTGGCAAAGCATTCTTCTACGCAACTAAATGCATCAGCCTTATCATGGCTAGGGATAGCCAATGACGTGCAAATGGGAAATTTAGGAATAGCTCCTGGGAAAACTATAAAAACAGCACACTCAACATGGAAGCTGACTCTTTCGCCCTTGCCCAATTTCTCCTTGCTGTCTAAAACATGAACTTGACGGTGGGAGTTGCAGCAGCCAACCTATAACCAAGGCATGGTCTTAAAGATGGAAGTCATGATAATGGAAAGGAGAGATGGAAGGAGCCCACACCCCTGATGGCATCAGGAAGATGTGGTGTTGGCCTGATGACTGCCTACTTTGGGGCTTGTTTTACATAAGAGAAAAGTAAACCCCCATCTGGTTTAATCCACCATTACATTGCATTTCCCTTATATACAACTGAACCGAATCCTGGCTGACACAAAAAGAAAACTTTGAAATCTAAAGTTATAATTTTGTAAATAAAAGGTTTTATTAAGGGCAAGTTAACAAATTCTTGTGATGCATATTTAAAGTGGTGGGGACCTTGGAATCTCTGCTGTTGTGGCATAACACTGAGGTAACTATCATCTTAGGGTCTCAGGGATTTATAGCTAATAATTAAATTTTATGCTAGTGATGCAACCTATGACCATAGGGACTTTATAGGTGGAACAGCTAATGTTTAAACCACTTGATTGGTGGCTTACTGAAATATATTGCACCTGAACTGTAGAGTTAGCAGTGGAGC